GATGCGCAATCATCTTTTTGCACTTTCACACGGTAATAATTTTATATAATAAATTTAACAATATGTCAGAATAAATTCATATAATGTAGTTGATGTAGAAAAAAATGCTCAATTTCAGATTTTAGTTGTGCATGATGTAAAAATAAAAGTTAATTATGCAAATATTTCTTTCAAATTCGCTATACGTTCATTTGTTCGAAATTTTAATCTCATGTAAAAGATCTGAATTTTATGACTAAGAGAAAAAAACTGAACAAGAAGTACTAATTATCTTTTAATGATCAGTTCCCAAAGTGGGTAAAAATTTAAAATAAACAATTTCCCAATGAATGTAGAAATGATAGTTTGTTCGCTGTGTTGTTCTCTTCCTCTGAATAATTGTTCCGTTCTAATACATATGTATGATAAGCTTTGTTCATATACAGCAACATGCATAGCTATAATCTTAGAGGAATAAAAAATCTAATTGTTTGAATGATGTCGATGATGATAATGATGACAATGTTGTTGTAGACTTTTTTATGTTAAAACTAGAATTAATATAGTCCATCGTTATTAACAAACATAGAACATGTTTACATACTACATAGATAAAATACATAAATCTAGGCATTTGACATGATTTAAATGTTGATACGATATTTCTTGTTTGAATGAAATCAATTTAAAGAATTTAGTTGAATAAATCCACCTATAAAAGGACATTGTGCATCTTCTTCAAGTAGAATCATCAGAAATCATATTATTGTAGTATGTAGATCATTTTAATTAGGTTAATATGAATAGAATACAAAAGTTTATGAAATGAAATATGAAAATAGAATGAAAGCTTATCAATTTTTGTTCATGTACCATTGTCATTGTAACGAAATATTTTGTGGGTTATTATTATACTTTGGTTCTGGGTGAATTGATAAATCAAAATATAACGTTACGGGTTTTGATGATATTTATTTTAATAACAATATCAGCACACACAGATAATAACAAGTTGACATAAAATTGATAAATAATTACAATGCGCACAATAATAATAAATGTTGAACGATAACCGTTTCACGATTCTAAATTGTAACTTCTATTTAATATCTCTAGCTGAGTAACTCTTTCCCTTAAACTATCTATATTACTGCCTCTCGATACTACTCCAGAATTATCTATTCTTGCTCTACTCCAAGACTCCTCTCTTATTCTACTATATCACCGTTCTTTTATACTCTCGCTCTTCTCTCTTTCTCTATTTTCTTCTATATTTCTATTCATTACTATAAAAGGAAATTATGAACTAAATACAGAATAACTTAGGCCATTTCGATTATTTCATTGATTGCCATAAACTCTTGATCCTATATTTATCATACTTGACCTGATGACGTGCAGATAATATCAAGAGGATATTCCTTCTTATTATGACCTAACATTGCACTAATGCTTTTACGAACGTCGTAATATCTAATCGTTCTTGTCGACTACACTAATTATCCGTATAAAGAATAAAAAGAAATTCTATAATGGGGAAACGTAGATATCTGAATCAAGAGGGGTGTATCATTCATAAAAAGGTACACATGATTTTCTGAATATCTGAGAATATAGATTATTGGCACAGATATGTCACTATCATAAGTGGCATTAATATACATAAAGAAAAAAATATAAAATCAAACATACAGTGAAAATAAAAACAAAATATCAAACATATAAAATAAAAATAAAAACAAAGCAAAGAAAATTAAATATCTAACATATATAATAAAAGTAAAACAAAATATCAAACATATACACTAAAAATGAAAGGTACAAGAAAAGTTGAATATCTAACATATACAGTAAAAATAAATAATTAAAAAAGCCAACCTAAATAAAAGTAGAAATAATAACAATAATAAATAGCATAATACAAGAACAATAAAAACAACTTCAAAACAATAAATAAAAAAACAAAAATATTATCATACTTCACATGAATAAGTCAGGCTATCTATATCTACATTACTAAGTCTTACATTACATATTTCAATAATAAATACAAATCCTTAAATAATAAAATAGTTCATTTTCCATTCTACATAACTCCACAGTCAACTACCTTCTTCGACTCTAATATTGTAAATTCTCCATTCTCAATGTATTTCTTTTGTGTTATTGTGCACCTTCTACTTAACTAAATGTAACTTTCAACATTGTTTTTCCTGATGATGTGTTCAGTGTAAACACGAAAGCTCGAATGACTTTTTATTTCTGATAGAAATAAATTTATTTAAAATAAAAAAAAAATTATTATTATTTTATAATGATTTTTGTGGCAGTTCTATATTCTTTTTTTCATATCTGTTCTTTTTTCTTGATCTTTTCTTCTATATTTAAAATTTAAAAGCAAGCGAAACATTATTCGATTATTTTGAATAGTACTACAAGAAATTAATTCTATTGATCCTGGTGAAAGAAGCTGAACAATAAGGAACTACTGTCATTCATATTTTGATATCGTATATTGTATTAGTATTGAAAGAAGATATACAGAGAGCTTAAAGCTTAAAAAATCATTTGAATTCTATAATTTCTCGTTTTACTATAGTAAAAAAAGAATAAATTACTACTAGAGAATAGATTTATATTCTTAACAATGAACAGACCATATTCTTTGTCAACGAATCCTATAGTATAGATTATGTACTGAAATCTGTCCTAATTTCATTTATTATGTGGTAACTCAGTAATAGCAACAATTTTTGTTGCTCAAATTCATTCAAATTTGTGGAATGACGATTCATCAAATGTTTGTAGATTTTCTTAAAACAAACGATCAGTCTGATCTATCCCAACCAGTACAGTCTTCTTGATACTATTCAGAGTATTTTAGCTAAACCAGGCTTTGGGCTTCATGTCGAAAGATAAACCAATTCCGTCGGAAATTTTGTATAAGGTCACATAGTTTCATATCATCGACCGTATTTCTAGGTTGTCTTCTTTGAAAAGAACTCGATAAAGTGGAAAGCATAAGTATTTAACAACATTATGTGTATCAATAACAAGCAGAATATCATACGAACTGAAGGTGTGCTGGAAAAGTGTCGAAAGGAAAAATGTCGAAGGGGAAAAATGCCGAAGGAGAAAAATGTCGAAAGGAAAAATTCAAAAGAGGAAAAATGTCGAAAACAGGAAAATATCAAAAAATGTTCCTCTAGCGGATGATAATTCTAATCGTGTATAGGTAGTTGCTTTTCTTATAATTCTACTAGTGTATAATTTAAACCAGTAATAAAAGTGGTGATTAGTATCTATGATAACAATTGAATTAAAGCGTTGAGAGAAGAATTACTTTCTAACTAAAATTCCATTGTCATGGCTAAAGCTACTGCTTCTGCAACTGATGTTAACCAAGCAAAATCTCTGGCTATTTCATTTATAAATTCAAATAAAGGAAAACCATTACTACTAGCCGATGAATATGTTTTCAAATTGAATAAAAATACTACTACTACTAAGTATTGGATATGTACGCTGAATGGATGTTCAGCTAAGGTGCATACCGATCTAAATAGTCAATTTATTAAAATTGTTGGTGATCATAATCATTTTCCAGAAAAAGAACAACTGGAGGTTCGAGAATTTCGAGAAAAAGTTAAGCAGCGAGCAATTCATGAAACAACACCAATTCCCCGCATTTATTATGAAGAATGCGCTAAAGCAATGCGTTCAAATGCAACAATAGCTGCCTTACCTAGTGAACGTGAAATGAGTATGAAAATATTATATTTTTGTTTAATTAGGTTTGAGGTTTTTCTTTTGATACTTTTAAGGTAGTGGAATTAATAAGGCGCGTCGAGCTATAACACCTACAATCCCAACGGCTCAACTATTTGAAATTCCTGATCTTTATTCAAAAACGCTGAGCAAAAATAGTTTTTTAGTTGTTGATAAGATGATTACTAGACGACAACGTATACTTCTATTTTCATCAAGTGAACAACTAAAAATGCTATTTGGTGCTGAAACAATACTTATGGATGGTACGTTTTCTACTTGTCCAAACATGTTCGATCAAGTATATACGATCCATGTGATAAAATATGATCAATGTGAGTAGATAGAAAGATTAATTGTCATAAAGCTGTTTCTTAATCCGCTTGTTTAGCTTTTCCTTGCGTCTTTAGCTTATTATCAAATCGGCAGAAAAATACGTACCATTTCATGTTTAATGAGTTGAAATTAATAGCTGCACAAATGCAACTGAATTTCACTCCGAAAGTGATCATGAGCGATTTCGAACAAGGGCTATTAGCTGTAGTGAAAGTCGAAGTATGTGTTCTTTATTTCATGAAAATACATATAAGACCTTTTTATATAGCTTGTTACAGCAACCCATTCATCTTGCTATTTTCATTTTACCCAAGTGATCTATCGAGCAATACAACGTGTTGGTTTGTCAACGACCTATAATGATGATGATGACATTAAACAATGTTGTCGAAAATTGATGACTCTTCCATTACTACCGGAAGCCATTATTGAAGATACCTATGATGAACTACTTGCAGTAATGTCAACACAACTGAAAGACACACTGCACAATTTATTAGAATATTTTCAAGAACAGTGGTTCGTAAAAGTTCCTATTTCTCAATGGTGTGTACATGGGCTTAGCATGAAGACCAATAATAATGCTGAAGGCAAAATTTTTATATTATTTGAGTTAAAATTTCATTTTCTTTTCTTTTGTGCAGCATTTCATAGTCGTTTTGGGGGGGGGGGGGGGGGGGGGGGGGGGGGGGGGGGGGGGGGG